TGCTGCAAGGGGACAGTTCTAACCTGTCACATGGGCTCACTGGGAGCTGGAGGAGGGGGAATCACCAGATGGCAACTACCAGCAAGAGAGAAAGCCACTTTTTTAATCTGAGTCAGAATCCACTGGAAAACAAATAGTTGTGGTGGTGGATTTTTATTTTTTGTCTGTTTTTCCACTAAAGCAAAACCCCAAGCCTCAAGCTCATTGCCGTTGAGCTGGAAGTGATTCACAGCTGGGCCTCCAGCAGCTGTCAATCACACGGAAGAGGAGGAGATTGCCCACCTTTCTCATGAGGAGCTATGGGTGGCCTGGAACCCCAGCGAGGCGCAGCCTTTGGGTTGTCAGCACAGCTCTGCATTGGCAAGGCCAGGAAAGACTGCAAATTACAATGTAATCCAACGGGGTGCTGGTAGACTACCTCTGGGAGCAAGCTGTGGTTTTTTCATGCAGTTACATCACTTTAGTTTCAATATGTGGCAACCAGTATGTAAAAGAGAACGGAACACTGTTCCACCCTGTTCCCTCCCCATGATCATTGCTATGTGTGAGCACACTGTCACAGGTCAATACCACTGAAGGTCTTCCTCCCTTTTGCTGACATCTAACCAAGGATGACAAAGTTCATCGTGGAGAGGGTGAAGCCAGAATGCTCCTTGGAGTCAAGGATTCTGAAGCTTCGTCTGACATACTTTGGGCATGTTGCAAGGAGGGACTGGTCCTTGGAGAGGGACATCATGTTTGGGAGAGTGGAGGGACGGCGCAGGAGAGGAAGACCTTCAATGAGATGGATCGATTCTGTGAGTGGTGGGAATGAGTGCATTTGAGACGGCGAGGTTGGCACAGGATAGAATGGCGTTTAGGGCTCTTGTACATAGGGTCGCTATGAGTGGCAAGCGATCTGATGGCACATAACAACAACAACCACCAAGGATGATGTTCTTCTCTAAGAACTGGTCCCTCCTGACAACACTCCCACAACGTAAAGGTGATGTCTCACCATCCTAACGTGCAAGGAGCAATTTCCAACACAGATTTTTCCCCCCTTTCTTTCTTTCAGCAATCCATGGGGCGGAGGGGGGAGAATCCCTTCTTTGTAGCATTTGATGATTTCCATGGTACAAATACGCCCACCGTGGCTGATTTCATCCTGCCAACAGTTGGGAAAATTCCTGAAAATTTAGCAATAGCTTGCTCAGGAAAACCAGCACTGAAAACTACCTCTTTTTCAGTCGATCCTAAAACGGGCAATTTTTATTATATGTGGCAGCTTTCCTGTGAGCTCAACTGATACTTAATCATTCTCTGGAACAATCTTGCAGTAATTCACAGAAGTCTGGCCTACTCTTGTTACATTTAGCTTTCTCAACCGTATTGCAATTGAAAAGGGTTGGATGTTGAAAACGAAAATTGTACCTAAGCACGTCTGTCTTCACCAAGAGAGCACAAAGGGAGAAGCCAGGGTCAGTATGCTCCAAAAAGACTTGACCTTTAGAACGGGTTCCTTCATTAACACCATTTCCCTATCTAAACCTGAAGTAGCTTCAGGATAGAAGACTTGATTCAAATTCTTCTTTTCAGTTTAGCTCTTGGGAGAATTAATGAAATGTCAGTAGTATAACAAAACAAACAAGAGCCACGCACATGTCACATTAATCCAAATCCAAGCAAGGCAGGAGAGCCATAAGGAAAAATCTCTTCTACCACATATGGATACCAATGGGGACTCCAATCCAGCCAGAGACTTGCTAGCAAGTGTCAGCAGGCTTCTGCAAGGTTGCTCTTAGATATAATAAGCCTATTTGGGGAACACCTACAGAAGCAGGGGCTTAGCAATTGGCCGCTTTCACTGCCAGCCTGCTTGGTATAATTCTGAATGCTATCCAGTTTAGCTGCTGGGCACTATCTGAATGAACTGTGCTCTAGGAGCTATGCAGTCAACTGCTCAGGGCTTCTTTAGAGTATGAATGACCTCGTCATCATCCAGCATCATACCCCTTTCATGTTTGGGCCCTGGAAGCCCAAGGCCCATCACCTTAAGACTAAAGAGTGCATCAAAAGCAGGCTCAGAAGCCAAGGATGTTGTGAAAACCCAGATGAGGGTAGGGCATTACTTTACCTGGTAGTGTCTTTACTTGTGCCCTTGTACTATCCTTCCCTGTAGTGACCAAACAAGAAAGTTGCTCATAAACCAAAACAATGGCTCTAGTCAATGGACAAACAAAACTCAGGGCTTTCCCCATATTTCACAATTTCCCCACCAGATGTCTTTCAAGGACCTCTAGAATCACGGTCTTTCATAGTATTTTTTATCACCAAACACAAACTTCTAGACATCCAAAATAGAACTGTTGTAAAAAAAATTATAAACACAAAAATGGAACGGGGAGGGGGGAGCAGAGTTATTAAAGTTTCCAGTATAGATGACAAGCCTTGAAAACCATGGCAGTATTATCGACGGCAACTTAATTCTTCCGCTACCAGTGGTAAGAAACCGCATCACGAACCAAAAGGCATGAGGTTCGAATCCACCGACTGCTTCATGGGAGAAGAATGGACAATCTCCTCCCATGCAATTTACTGTCTCTGAAAGCCCACTGGGTCAATTCCTACTGGGAACACTACTACCACCACCACCACCATCGCCACTGCTGACACAAGTATTATTCTAATAAACACATTAAGTTATTTACACGTAAAAAGTAAATATAAGATGTCAAATAAGACTGCTGTCTTACAACTTCATAAAGCTGCTCCTGTGTCTTCCTATTTAAAGAGATGCACCCACCCCTGAACAAGCAAAGCCACAATTACTCTGAGATATAGACACATAACTTATGGGAGGGGAGCACTTGGCAGCAAGAAACACCTTCACCTGGAAGACTAATTATTACTTCTGAACGTACCCATTATCTTACATGGCAATTTTTTTTTCTCTAAATGGGAGAAAGATGGACAATTGCCTCCAAGGCCATGCACAGCCTCAGAAACTTGCTGGAGGGTCAGCTGGTTCTACCTCAATGACTGAGTTTTACCCTATAATATATCTGTAAATGTTTCTTAAAATCAAAGCCAGGCACCACTCCTGCCAGCGCTCCTTTCCTTCACATCAGCTTGTCTCTCTGTTCACAGCCCTTTGTCTCTATAGCGTCTTAAGATGAATTTGGTCTTGCCATCTCCTACTCCAGATGAGCCCTGATAGCACAGTGGTTAAGGCACTCACCTCAGCTGGTAACAGAAAGGTAGACAGTTTGAACCCATCAGCAGGAGGCAGAAAAGATGGGCCAGTCTGCTTTTGTAAAGATTTACAGCCCTATGGAGTTCTACTCAGAGGCAGAACTTAAGGTATAGTCTTAGACATACCCAAGGACATATTTAATAGGAGGCGCCACTGAGCAGTTTCTACTAGCCATTCCAGTTTGGCTGACACGTTACAACTAATACTTTAGTATGTCAGAGCCTCCAATCAGCGTATAAAGAGAAGATATTATGGGGTGGGAGAAGATGACTTTCAGCACATCAGAAATCAATTTTCTTTAATGAAAGCAAGAAAAGTACAGCTGCAAATTTCACAAAGTGCCATAGTACTTAAAGAGAAAAAAAAAAAAAGATTTACAAGCTGTTTTCATATTTCTGAAGTTATCAAAAACATATGTGTCAAATGTTTGGAAAGGGATAGAATTTCAGAACTTGCTACCAGGCACTGTTTCCCACAGATATGCCTCTGATTTTACTCACTACCCTTGGTATCCGCTTTCAGGAGATCAGAAGATGATGTATTACACTGAGAAAGTCTGTAGTCAGGGACCTCTCCAAAATTCCCGAGGGCCAATGATATCAATTTGAGGACCAAGGTGCATCTGTTTCAGGCCATGGTCTTTTCAATCACTTGCTATGCATCTGTGAGCTGGACGATGAAGAAAGATGACAGACGCAGAATTGACGCCTTTTGAGCTGTGGTGCTGAAGAAGAATCCTGAACATCCCATGAATGGCCAAAAGAACAAACAGAGAATGTCTTGGAGAAAGGACAGCCTGAGTGTTCCTTGGAGGCAAAGATGATAAGGCTTTGTCTCACATACTTCAGACATGTTGCTAAGAGACGCTATTCCTCGGAGAGGGACATCATGCTTGGAAAGGTGGAGGAAGGTGGGCGAAAAAGTCAGGAAGACTGAACCAGGTGGACAGACACAGTGACTGTAGCAGTGGACTCGAGTGAGTCAGAAATTGTGAGGATGACACAGGAGAGGACAGGGTTCAGATCTGTTGCTCTTCTGTGGTTCAAAGGGTCACTATGGGTCATACTCGACTTGACAGCACCATAGAATGTCAACAAAGAATGGCTTGCTATTTACGGCCTCTGAAAGACACCCCCGCCGGTGGGTCGGCGATGAGTCGCTTCCCACTGGACAGAACATCACAGCAACACAGGGTCGCGGAGTCAGAATCCACTGGATAATAGGGGGGTCTGGGTTTGGGATCTCGCTCCTGTTGGGAAGCACAGCCCCTGCCTCCAGTCTTCAGAGCGGACCAGCCGGGGCAGCACCTTGGTCCGACCCGATGGACCAAGCACAGCAGGGACCTACCTGGAGACAGAAGGGGACAGGGTGACTCGGCAGGGAGGGTCTGCCCAGCGCGGGACACAAGGCCGGGGTCCGGAGCCACCCCTCGTCCCCGGAGCGACCCTTGGAGGAGAAAGAGGTGCCGGTTGTCCGGGTCATCGTGCCCGCCGCCGGTCACTTACACAACAAAGGGGCGGCCCCTCAGCGCCTGGGTCACGACGGCCTCCCAGCGCCGTCCCGGCCCGTCCCAGACACCTGCCCGGATCCGCTCTGACCTGTGACCGGAGGGAAGGATCCCGACCGAGACTCGGACGCCGCGATCCCCTAGGAGGCCGGTGGCCGCCGGGCACGTTCGGTGTTCTCGGCGTCGCCCACCGGGGAGCCCCCCCGCACTCGGGGCGCGCAGAAAGCACGCGCCCAAGTGCTTCTGGCCCGCACTGACCTCTCGCCGGGGTCAACCGAGTCCATGGGCTCCTCCTCGGCTGCCATGGTCGCCACCGCTTTACAGACTCAACACGGGGCCTCGGAGCCCGCGGACAGGCCGACTGGGCCACCAGGGGCCGCCGCTGCCCTTAAGGGCGCCACGCCCACGCATGCGCCGTCCGCCCCCTCGCGCGACCCGGCGACGCACTGAACTTGCCCCGCCGCGCTCTCGCCCCGCCCATCACGCTCTGTCCCCGCACATCACGCTCTTGTCCCCGCCCCACCGACGCGCTTACGTCATCCTGCCCTACGCTGCCCCGCGTAAGGCTGTCTGTTTGCAGGATTGCTTTAGTTAGGAGTTGGGGATGCTTAACCCGCGGTTAGGGAGGCACTTCAGTAATGAGTGTATTAATGCATCATCCAGCGAGTCCTAACTGCCAGGTGCGGGGCCCTGCGTTGGCACTTGGTGCTACCATGGAGACACAAGTGCAACTCTGCCCCGAAGAGACAGGATAAGCCATCTGGTGGATTGCTGCAATGACCCGTGGAAATGCTGAAAGCCAGGTGCTGCTTGGTCTCTCCTTGTGAGTAGGTGGCGAAGACGAGAGGGCAACGCACAGGGCCCGCCGGTCACTATTTACAGAAGTGCGGGGCACTGCTGTAGAGCTACAGTAATGACCAGAACCCACTCTTCGCCCCCGTATACTTCTCTCTCTGCCTTTCCAATTCAGAGTTGACTCTCCATCTGGTTTTCCAAGGCTGTATATTGCAAGGGGAGGAGATTGCCCATCTTTCTCCCACAGAATGGTTGGTGGATTTGAACCTCCACAGCTCCCTACAGGGTTCACCACCCGAGCTCCATGTACTTGAGAAGAATGAAAAACATTCATTGTTTTGGCACTGAGGGCTCTCTTTGAGAGGGAATCATTAATAAGACATTTCTTGACCACAAGCCTTTTCTTACCCATGAGATTAAGCCTCCAACTTGGTAATTAAACAGTCCTTACCATTCTCTGGTGGCCTAGTGGCAAGAAGCTGCGCTGCAAATCCCAAAGGCATGCGGGTTCGAGGCCATCAGCTGCTGCCTCTGAAAAACTGCGGGGAGGTTCAGTTATGGGTCTGTTCCTACTCTAGGGTTCACAAAACAACCCCCAGTATTCATTTATTCGTAGTCACGTTATGCATACTACGCAGCCACTCTGGTCTAGGTGCTGGGAAATGGCATTAAAGTAGGTTCCTACCTTTATGGAGCGGATTGTGTCCACTGAGTCAAGTATGACTCAAAGCGACCTTATGAACAATAGATCTGAAACTTTACCTACCCTGTGCCGTGCTCACAATCTGACACACTCTAGCCCGTAGCTGCAGTTACTGTGTCAATACACCTGGTTGAGGCTCTTCCTCTCTCTTGTTGACCCTGCATGATGTCCCTCTCCAAGGAAAACTCTCCTAGCAACATGCCCAAATGACATGCGATGAAACTGCCGTTCTTGCCTCCAAGGAGCACTCTGGCTGTACCTTCTGCGAGACCTTTCTGTCCTCTTGGCAGCCCATGGGATATTCGGTACTCTTCTCCAACACCCTGGTTCAAAGGCTTCAATTCTCCTGCCATCCTTTTTCATTGTCCAGCCCTCAGCAGCATAGCAAGTGATGGAAAAGACCATGGCCTGAATCAGGCACACCTCAGTCCTCTAACTAAAATCATTGCTCCTCAATAATTTGGAGAGGTTCCTGAATAAAGACTTTCCCAATGCAATGCATCTTCTGATCTCTTGACTACTGCTGGTACCAAGGGTGTTGATGGTGGATCCAAGTAAGATGAAATCATTGACAATATCACTTTTCTCCATCTATCATGATGTTGCCTATTGACCCACTGATAAGGATTCTTATTTTCTTGACTTTGATATCCAGTCCACATTGAAGGCTGCAGTGTTCGAACTTCTGCAGTGAGTGCTTCAAGTCCTCCTCACTTTCAGAAAGCAAGGTTGTGTCATCTGCGTACTAAAGGCTATTTAATGAGCATTCCTCCAATCCTGATGCCACATTCTTCTTCCTAGAGTCCAGCTTCTCGGATAATTTGTTCAACGTACAGATTGAATAGGTATGGAGAAAGGATACAACCCTGACACACTCTTTTCTTCTTTTTAAGCCATCTAGTGTTCCCTTGCTCTATTTGCACACAGCTTCTTGGTCTAGGTATCAGTCTGTTATGAACACAAGTATTCTGTGATTCACATCTTTCTCAATGTTAGCCATAACTTGTTATGATCCACACAGTCAAATGCCTATGCATAGTTAGAAAAACACAAATAGGCATAACTATGAAATAGATTCATAAAACTATGAGTTGGTTTTGACTCAACTGCAAACCACAAGTAATAACAGACAGATGTGTGTATTTTATAGAGCTTAAGTTCATATATTAAGGAACTTTGGTAATACAGTTAAGCTCTAAGCTGCTAATCAGAAGATTATCTGTTCACTCCTACCCAGTGGCTACATGGAAGAAAAGAACTGACTGTCTTTCCTGGCAAATTTTACATCTTAATAAACCCTTTGGTTGAAGTTCTACCTTGTTCCACTGGGTCACTCATTATGAGTCAGAGTCAATTCCACTGGACACAGCAAGCTCATAAGTGTGGACTCAGTGTTTCTCTCTTCTCTGCACAGCAAGCTCATAAGTGTGGACTCAGTGTTTCTCTCTTCTCTGCTGTTTCATCTTTTCTGCATCTCTGGCCTCTGAGCCTTCGTAACCTCATTGCCTCTGTCAACCACCTGGCACTCGGATTCTCTGTGTTTTGTAATGATCATGCTTTTTAAGTGCATATTCTTGAGCTTCTTCCCATCTGCATCAGAAGTTCCTTAGGAACAGCGATGTGTTCTGTGTGATTTTTAAAAAAACAAACAAGACACTCATCATGCCAGGGGCATAGTAATTCCTAATAAAAATTTTTATCTTATTTGATCTAATTCATAAAAATATCCTAAGGAGTATTCGTTAGGTATTGTCAAGTTGGAACTGACTCACAGCTACCCTCCAGGGACTTTTTAGAGGCAGTAAATCGCATGAGGGGAGATTGCCCATTTTTCTCCCATGGATTACCTGATGGAATCCAACCTCAGGCATTTGACTTGGCAGCTCGACTTCTCACCACTAAGCCACCAGAGCTAGATTATAGAAGCACACTTTGCTGAGAAGTGATGGCATATTCAAAGCCTTGGGATACCTGGAAGACTTCTTGTTGTTTTTGATTGCCTTTGAGCCACACACAACCCATAGTGACCCTATGAACAAAAGGCCTGAAGCCTTTTCATAACTATCAACATTTATCAAAGTTCATAGAGTTTTCGGAGGCGTGTTGTTTAGGAAGTGGAAACCACGACTGCTTCCAAACTTGTCTTAAACTGGGAGCTCCACCAGACATTGTCCACCATGCCTCTGAGAGCACCTCTATGTTGAGGGAATCCCACTCATATTACCCAGGTCCGTTGTTGGCTACTTTGCTGCCTGGAGAACAATGTCAAGTGGCAGAACTCTTGAGATGTGGCCACAAAACCCTCAGAAAGTCAAGCATCCCAAGGTCTTTGTAGATCCGGATCCAGCTCTCATAGATGTGCGCTGAGCAGTTCAGTTTACCCCTGGCAAGGAAGATCTGCTGGTGGTTATGCTTGTGGCACTACACAGTGGGGGCAAAGTGCTCACTGATCCAGTACTGGAGTTTATCGAGAGTCTGTCAGAGCAGTGTCCATGGCCATGGCACATCCTAATCTTCCCCAACCCTGGGGATAGCCCCAGCACAGCCATTACCATGCTAGGATAAAGGAATTTCTCTTTTCTGTGGCTAGAAGTACAGTCTGGAACCGACCATCCATGCTGCTCTTAGATGTTGCCCACAGTGAGGGAGCCATGCAGCACTATACTGACCACAGCACTGCTCTGAATCCTTCTTCCTGTGTCGGCCTGGGAGGTAATGAGACAAATTACAACTCTGGGCTCTTTAACCTGAAGCTCAGAGTTCTCTACCAAGACCAGTCTTGATCATTGCTTTGCTAACATCTTTGTTTTTGTAACTGCCTTGCTCTCCCTGAATTTTGGCGTCCTCTTGAAAGCAAACTTCCCAGCATCTTGGACCAACCATGTGCCCTGCCTGTTGGCTACCTCATTTTGGTCCAACAGCATTTATGCTGAAAGATGTTAAGGTGTAACCCTCTAGAAATTTTAGATTTAAATCCCTATCAGATCACTGCAATGCCAGAGGTACACAGTTCAAATCCACCAGATGCTCTGCTGGAGAAGGAGGGGCAATCTCCTCCTCTACCGGTCAGATCTGATTTGACGGTACACGTAAAAAATAATACAATTTAAAAAAAGAAAAAGAAAAAGAAAAAAAAATCCCTATCAGATATGTCATTTCCAAATATTCCCCCCCCCCCAAGTCTGTGGCTTTCTCTGTTAGACAAGGGTTTGGTTGTTTGTTTTTTTTTTGTTGTTGTTGTTGTTTTTTTGATGCTAGAAGTTTGTTCCAACTTGACAGCAATGAGTTTTAGGTTTTTTGAGCTACCATGATGTTAATTGTGGGTCCAAGTAAATGAAATCTTTGAGAATGTCTGTCTGTTTTCCATCTCTCATAATGTTGCCTGTTGGTCCACGGTGAGGATTTTTGTTATTTTGCTATTGAGATAGATTCAGTTTTGAAGGCTATAATCTTCCCCCCCCCCTTGTTGTGTACCTTTGAGTCAGATTCAACTGGCACAGGAGAAGATTGACCCTCCTTCTCCAGCGGAGCATCTGGTGGATTCGAACCACACACCTTTGGAATTGCAGCAAAGTCTGTAATCTTTGATCATCTTCAGTATGTGCTTCAAGTCTTCTTCACTTTCTGCAAGCAAGATTGTGTCATCTGCATAATGCAAGTTACTGCATATTGATCTAATCCTGATGCCATATTCTTTTTCACATAGTCCATTTTCTTAAATTATTTGGTCTATATACATATTGAATATGTGTGGAGTTAAGATAGAACCCTGACACACTTTTTGTGATTGTAAGCCATGTAATATCCCCATCT